GAAAGAAAAGAAAGGCACTGAAACAGTTTTCCTAGAGCAAACCTTGAAATATCTTTTTTTTAAAAGTGGAAACTTGATAAATGTCTAAAAATACAGCAATATTTAAACACTTGTTTTATCCTCTGTAGATCCAATGGCATCCTGATTTGATTTAAAATAGTTTAGGACATATGCTCAAGGACAAGAACCTATTTTGAAAGGTGAAGAAGAGCAGTCATCCTGAATTCTCTCTAGTCCTCATCCTCTGTGTGAATGTTGAAGATTAACAGAGATGCTTTAGGTTAATCAAGGGCTCCTAACTTTAGAGGAGTTTTAGATTAATTGTAACTTTTAAGTAGACATCAATCCTCTTCAGAACTCCCTGTCTTAGAAGAGCTCTCCTTGCCTGTCAGTCACCACCACCTACCAGGTAGGAAAGTCAAGCAGCAAGACTAACACACGGTTGCATCTTACTGGGGAATGTTATTGTGCCATTGTTAAAAAAAAAAAATCATATATCTTGAGGCTACTTAGAAAAAAGCCTTATGTGCTTATGGGTGTGTGTGTGTGTGTGTGTGTGTGTGTGTGTGTGTAAGTTTTAGAACTGGGACGGCAGCTCTTTTTGAAGGGAAGAAGCATTAGATTCTTGGTAGACCTGGATTTAATCTCTGTCCCAATAATAAGGAGTATCATTATGTATTACAGAATGTCCATTAACAAAGGGTTATTCAGAACTTGAACTGTTATATCTGATAATTATATTATGAGGCAGATTTTATCCAGGAAACTAAAGCTTACATAAGTTATATAACCAAACTGGTGAGTGGCAGATCTCAGGCCCATTGCTACAATTCTATTGCTTTGTTTAGTGATTATATCAACCTGCCCAATAAAGTGTACCTTTTAGGGGCTGGGATTGTGGCTCAGTGGCAGAACGCTTGCCTAGCATGTGTGGAGGTACTGGGTTCAATTCTTAGTATCATGAATCAATCAATAAAATAAATGTCATTGACAACTAAAAAATGTTTTTAAAAAAGTGTACCTTTTAGATTGCTGCATTCACAGGCTCAGAAAAAAATTTATACATATATATGTATATATGTGTGTGTATGTGTATATATATATAGTTTGTGTGTATACATTCACTATTGAAAAGTGTTAATCCAGCTTATGATAATAAATGGTTAATATAGCAAAAATATCAATATTTCTATGCTCTTATTAAAAATGATGCTTATGTTGGAGTTATGGTGGTTCATATTTTAACCTTTTCTATTAAGCTTAAATATTTGAGCTTTTATAGTTTTTAAGTAATCACAAAGACTTTTTAAATTATATCTAATCTGTAATAAGAATATAATGTGAATTTCTTACATATAAATCCAGTTAATATAGATATTGAAAATAAATCAATTTTTTTAAATACCTGGCAATTATGCCAAATAGTACAAAGGTTATGCTGGAAATTCTTCCTTTCTCCAGAGCAAATTCATAAGCCATTTTATGGAGTGAGTAATGTAAATGCATTTCCACAGTTTTCTGGGAAAGAAAACTTTCAGACCTTTAGCTGTCAACAGGAGGAAGGGTTATCAGTAATTACAAAGCTATTAGAAAAAAAAAAATTATAGTCCTCTCTGGAAGCCAGCATTTCAGTAGTAAAAGATGTCCACTCTGAGCCAAGCTTTGGCATGACATGCCCTGATTTTCCTTTTTGCTCAGTGGAAAACCATATCCAAGTTCTCAACTTGGCTGTCTGTTGCATTTAGTCAGTTTTGACCTCTGATGTTTCTGCTGCTTCTATCGAAGAAACGAGAAACCCCAATAATTATAACTATTCAGAATGAGCATTTCTGTATTGGGAACTTGAACTGCATCATTGAAAAGGTAAAAGTGCAAGTCCTCAAACATTCCCTGAAATATCTGATCCTATCAAAGGAGTAATTCTTCTAAGAAAATGGAGATGGACCTGAGCAAGAGGCCTAGGAACCCCTAAATCACTTGTTAAGCTGGAATTTCATTTATGATGAGTTTCAGAGATAGTGTTAACGTTTTGGAGAAGGAGGAAACAGCAAAAAAAAATGTACTTTTAAGTGTGACATTTCATGTCTTTCATTTTGGAAAGATTCACTTTCCTAACAGAAAAATCAAACTGATTAAACTAAAATTTACTCATAGGTAGGTGCTGCCCCCCAATTTTTCAATGAACTAGAATTAAGGATAAAATGCGACTGTAGAAAGTCTCATCTCCTCTCATTTGTCCAGATCAATGCCCACATGCCCAATTTAGGTCAAGGCATCAGGCAGAGGAAAGGGCTGGAGCCTGACACTGGAATGCTCTATTTCACACACTTGCCCTCTGGAAGGACTGGCAGCGGCAGTCACTTAAATTAAATACAGGTCATCAAGCAAGATATATAATCTATTTCTAAAACAGACAACTTCAGCATCCCAAATCCCTATGGCCTTTTACTGAGGCATGTGGCACTACTTCTTCATGTTCCTCTGTCAATTCATGTTAAAGTTTGCTTTGTTTAAAAGTGGTATTTCATGTATTCTGTGACCCTTTTGCTCAAAGCAAAGAAATTGCTTTGGTTTATTTATGACCTACTAACCTTAAGCAAAACCAAAATGCTTAATGTTTCCACAAGTCAAGGGATGAGAAACAAAAATCTAAAATAAATCTGACCTTGATGCAAATCAGTCTTATCCTGCCCACGCAAACCTCCAAAATTAGGAAGAGGGGCATAAGGGGATACTCATCCATAAAAGACCTATTTCTTGTGGCTCTTTTCATTCAGTGAAAACAATATAAGAATGGAGATTGCTACAACTAATTTAGAATTCTGGAATTTGAATATGATGTTAAAAATGTAATGCTGCATACTTTCTAATAGAAAACATCAAATCTCAGTACTGTGAAACCTAAATAATTAAAAGATAAATTATTTGTAGTCAAAGACCAGGTCATGAAAATAAAGATGTAGAAGAGAGAGGATTAGGAAATATAAGATAGTGATTAAAAGCCCACTTGAATAAGCAGAAAATAGAATCAGCAAATGTAACAATTTTTCTGATGATTCAAAAATAATTTAGTATATAGAACCCTGAAGTATATCCTCTTCTCTGACATTAGAGTAAATGCAGCAAGAATACAAAAAATTTATATACTCTTATGGAGAATTTAACTGTTATGAGATTTTTTTATCTTCAACAAACTGTGTGTGTGAAACACATCCAGTTTAATCCAGGGAAACTAGAAAGAATTAATTACTCTGTTTACTATTACTATTCTATGTGCAAATGACAAGATATATAATGCAATCTGTTACTGTTGGAAATGAATCATTTATGACTTTTAAGAATTTTACATTAATTTTATTCAAGAGTTTTATTTTAATAATTTGAAAATTTGAGGCATAAGTTAATAATATTTTGCAAAAATTACTGGGGGAATGTTTTACAAAACAAATAATAACATGGATATGCATTGTAATTAATTGTAGCAACCCTGGAGCTTTGCTCATTAGTAGGTCAAATGCATATTTTGCATTCAGGCAAAATACAGGGTTTGAAGTCTTGTATCAGAGCATCCCTGTTATACAAATGTTAGCAGATGTAGTGAGAGATCAATAGGCATGATTGAAAAAATGGTTATATATTGAACTGACACTAACGCCACAATGTGCAGGCAGAGAAACAGGAGTGATATGCCTTCAGGTGGAATTGATAATGCAAACAAATGAGCCCTTAGTCCCATGATAATGTTCTTTCCACACCAGCACAAGAAATGCCTATTGATAAAGCATTTTTTTAACTAGTTGTACTCTGCAGGAAAAAAAGTGATTATTTCAAAAGAATGACACAATGCAAAATTCAGATTAATCACCACTGTTTATTCTATTACTATTTGTTGCCTCAATACATGCTTTTAGTAGATCACTAGCCCTCATTTTACCAAAACATGTTAGAGAACATTTCCATGTAAAAATTGTATTTCAAAGATATTAAGCAATTACTGCCTTTAAAATATGGTATTGTAAGCGAAGGAAATGTCAGAATATGTAAAAATTTGAAATACATAGTTCACTAATATTTCAGGAACTATTCCATTGATTTGAAAATCTTCAAAGTAGTATTCTAAATTACCGTGGGTTGTCTTACCCACAGATAATTACAATCATATTGGATGTCAGTTGAAGTGTGTCAAATAGTGACTTTCTAGGTTGGTTTCAATATATGCAAGAGAACTTTTGTTTTAATTAATAATAAAAATTATTCAACATGATTATATAAATACATTTAACAGAGTTGAGAATAAATGCTTTAAAATAAGCATTATTCACAAAGCACTCACAGAAAAGAGGTTATAAAAAGAATCCCTGACCTATACACCCATAAAAAGATGTTAGGAGTTTCATATCCAAAACAGTTGGGAATTCATAGCTTCATAGCATGCATAGATTGTATTTACTGTATTAATGAATTTTTTGTGTCATAAATGGAAAAATGGGTTGAGCTGATTTCTTCATTTGTAATTTGTTCAGTTTAAGAATGCTTTGGAACATATTCTAATTTTAAAACCAAATTTTATGATCACATACATTAGACATATAAGTGTAAAAAGGTAATTGACAGTTGTTTAATTTGAGGAAATCTAAGAGAATTCTTTTTAATTTTTGAATATTCTATATGCATAATATATTCTTCAAGCATAGCATTATTTAAATTTTAAGATATTGTTTCAATTTGATATTTCAAATTACTTTGAATAAGAAATTCTCTTTGTAACTGTGGGATAATTCTCTCTCTGGAACTAAACCAAGATCAGCATTTTTTTTTAGCTTGAAGAAACAAAATCCCTTTCTTTCACACATGTGATGTGGAGGCTGGCCAAAGTGTTGGTTGGAAGAATCACCCTTCGTCTCTTCCTCCTTATTTCTTTGAAAAGGCTTAAAATGCATACAACGTGTGACTAAATGTACTTTGTATTTTCTGTCTCCCTCCTCTTTCCATACTTACAGATACTGTAAAGTCAGCAGAATTCTGAGCTTAGAGGTTGCTTCAGTGAACATTCAACGCTGTCGGTGAGTTTGGAATTAAAATCAAAACCATCGACCGTTGATTGTACCCTATGGCTAACCATCAACTGCTCCGTGGCTCCCAGAATTTGCTGAAGACAGAAAACCAAAGCAGGACACTCCAGAACTTTCTCTTCTTCATGCAGAGATTATTTTTCAAAAGGTCACAATCAACATTCATTGCTGTCGGTGGGTTGAGCTGTGTGGACAAGCTCACTGAACAATGAATGCAACTGTGGCCCCGCTTTGTGCTGTCACAATCAACAACATTCCACCTTTCAAAGATGTCCTGAATATGTTGGTATCACTCTTCACCGTCACCTTTCGGGTCTGTTTGAGAGTTCAGGTCGATGTATTCAATCTATATCGTGTGATCAGATTTCAGTGAGAAAGGCACTAGTTCAAAACAGCATGATGCTTCTCTGTACTTCCGTATGTTATAAATAGAGCACATTTTTATAAAAGGTAAACCATTTTGTCCACAGGATCAGTACATCATCATCTGGGTTAACACACCTTCTTCTGTTACAATGGGGTGAGAGGAAGACACCAAGAAGCACCCCAGGATCCATGCCACTGGCACCTCTGTCTTTATAACATTTAAAAGCACCCATTCTCTACATCTTTTGTTAAATTTCCTGGTCCGATTGGGATAGGAACACCAAGTAATTGCATGTTCTGTTTCTCTAGTTGAGGACTCACTCAAATAATTCCTCTTGCCCTCGTATTTGTTAAGGAAGGGAAAAATGTATAAAATAACTTAGTGACTCTCAGAACACATGATCATCATAGAGTCGCTTCATTTCCCTAACTAAATTTCAAAACTCCAACATAAAATTTTACCCATTTCCTTGTGTTTCTTTTTCCAAACACCTAACCTGAATTGTTAAACCTACAACCATGGCCAACAGTGAAGTCACACTCATCTGACTTTTCATGGGTAAGACTATTAATGTCATTGTTTTGTTTAGTTGTTATGTTTGATCCTAGTGGTTTTAAGTTCACCATTCATAATGATTATAGTTACAGTACTAAATGCTTCTAGAGTGTCTGGAGCACCAAGCTGACTTCAATGTTTATTTAAAAAAAGATCTCTCCAATACATGATCCTTCCTGCTCCTTGACCTTTGCAATCTCACATCAGTCTCTTCAGCTCCCCTTATAGAAGCCCATTCCTGGAACCCTGCTCTAGCTTTCATAAGAACCCTAAGACATTTTAGCTCATCCACTGTCTAAACTGCCACACTCTGCCTATTGCTTTCTTCTATTTTCCCATTCTCTTAACCCCAAAGCAACTATCCAAAAGCTTCATTTTTGCTGGGGGAAAAAAAAATCACACAATCATAAGGAAGAATGTTAGGACATATTCATGGGCCTTCAAATGGCTTGGTCCCTCATCTCCACCCTGTTATTTCTTCCACCCTACCACCTAGTAGGTAGCTCAAGTGTGGACCTCCTTTCTCACAGCTCCCCTCCAACATTCTGATTTCAACTGATGCACCGACCTCTTTTTTTGATTGAGAAGCCTTTCCATCTGATTGCTCCCTCCACTTCTTCAGCGATAGCCAACCAATCCATACACTTCTGTCCCCTGGTTGACTCACTTCTTCCCGTCTTGCTCATGACACGGCTTACTCTGTGATATCCCCCTCTTCTCACCATATGGCTCTTTCCATGTAACATGTGGCAAGGTTCAGTTTTGTCTCTTCTCAGAAGAAAACTAAAGACATTTAAGAAAAAACTTCTCTGGACTTGTTTCAGTCTCCCACTACTTATATCTTCTCTTTAAAAGGGTTTAAAAATTGTATGTGGCAGCCTGTACCCTTTCACCTCAACTATCTATAATTTGGCTGCTTCTACCATTCCTTTCTACCCCTTGTATCTACTTTTTTTTTTAATGAACTGAATCACCAGTGGGTTCTGTATTGCCAAATAAATATCAGACTTTTCTGTGAGTTATCCTTACTGAACTCTTATGTGAACTGTCCTAATAGTCCCCTAATCAACTTCGTATCTACTATAAGCAATCTGTTCGATATTTTCCCCACATTATTTTAAGAGGAATATTTTTAAAAATCTAATCATGTTGTGAAACTATAATGCAACCTGAATAAAATATCTTAGTATGTTTAATAGATGGATTATTCTGGTAGAAAAAATGTTATGAATATTAGCCAAGTTGAGAAAAAAGAAATTTATGTATTGCCAAATAAATATCAGACTTCACATAAAGAATATCACATAATCTCTCAAGATTTATTTCAGGACATTAAGCAATTGCAAGCAATTTTTAAAAAATATTTAAAATAGGTGTAATTGGGACATTTATTTACCTTGAAATGGTAAAGATTTTTTTTTTCAATATTAAGACAATTAAAGCAAAAAGACAATAGTGGGAGGATTTGACTACATTAAACACCAAACTATAATTAGAAGGCAAATAGACAAATGGAAAGAATATGAGCAATAGATAAGACCAACAATTTGTATACTGAATATGTAAAAAACTTTAATATAAAAAGCAATAAGGAAAACATTAACAACTCAAGAAATAAGCGAACGATGAAAGTCAACAGAGTAGTCACAGAATAAATGTGAATGGGTGATGTGTATATGATATAAGCTTTTTCTATTTCACTCAACCAAGAATCCAGATTTAAAACAATATGATGTGAGTTTCTTTCGTCAGGCTAAGTGATGAAGCAAATGATAGAGCCTCTAGTGTGGCTGACACGAATGTTTTCATACTAAACTAGGTATGATTGTTTTCTACTTACACTCACTTCTCAGCTTCACTTTTCTTCAATTTTGAACATGTGGCTTACCGTCCCTGCTGTGGCATATTGCACCAGAAATACGCACCTGTCCTAAGGGGACCGATCCATAGGTGTGGCTGAGACTTTCATATTTTCCTTTTTAGGAATTTGAACTAAAAACTGCTGAATCCTTCAGGAGATAGTAGAGGTGTTCCACAAGTATAATGCCATGAGGATCTTGGGAGGAAGAACATTTCGCTTTCTTTCCCTGTCAGTAAATCAGATCTAGAAGATCAGGGAGGAGCAGCAAAAATAGGCAGGTATTAGGTGTGTTGCAGCTCCTAAGGGATGAGTGAAACAGATTTCATTCAAAAAGTTTTAGATCTGGAGCTCATTTTCCCAGCTCTCTTTGCTCTGCTTCTTGATGTCATTTTGGATGCCTATAGGACATTTAATGTCTTGGAAAAAAAGCCCTACTTGATTAGCTGTGGCTGATGTGCATTCTTCACCTTCTCAAGGTTTTTTTTTTTGTGTTGTTTATATATTTATGCACTGACTGAGTTCTTATAAATTTTTGGATATTAACCCATTATCAGATGTCTGGCTTACAAATATTTTCTCTCAACCCCTAGGTTGTCTCTTAACTCATTTTTATTTTTGCAGTGCAGATTGTTCATTTGATGCAATTCCATATTTTTTATTTCTATTTACGTTGTTTGTGCTTTTCAAGTTCTAGGCAAGAAATCTCTGCCCAGACCAATGTTGCAGAACTTTTCCTTATGCTTCCTCTGATAGTTTTATAGTTTCACACCTAAGCCTTTTATCCATTTCGAGTTGATTTTTTTCTATGCTGTGAGATAAGGATCTAATTGTATTCTGTGGGAGTATCAATTTTCTCAGCATGATTTACTGAAGTGATTGCCCTTTGCCATTGTGTGTTCTTGGGAACTTGCCTGAAAAATCAATCGACCAGAAATACTTGGGTTTGTTTCTCAACTTTCTGTTCTGTTCCATTGGTTGATGTGTCTATTTTTAATGCCAGTAACATGATGTTCTTATTATAATAGCTTTATATTTTAAATTTAGAAAGTGTGATTTTTTTTCAATGCATATATGTACATATGTTTGAAGATATACAAAGCAGCATTTTAATTATTTTTATTGGTGCATTATAATTGTATATAAGAGGTAGTATTTATTGTCCCATATTTGTATATGTATATAACATAACTTAATCAATCTCATTTCCTTCTACCTTCCTTTTATTCCCTTCCTTCCTCCCCAATCCACTTGCCTTACGCTGTTAATCTTCCATCACTATTATTATCTATAATTAGTGTGCTATAATTATACATATACTTACATATGTGCTATGATCTATATATACTATAATTTTACACACACACACACGCACGTGCACACACACACACGATTCATTGTGATATATCTGTATATGGTGATAGCAAAATTTGGTAGATTTCATTCCCCCATACCTCCCTATTCCATCCTGTCCTTTCTCCCTCTCAATCTCCTTCCTCTACTCTATTGGTCTCCCTTACATTTTCATAAGACCCTGTCCCTTTTCTATTCCCTTGTTTCTTCTCTGTATATAGTTTCCACATATGAGAGAAAACATTCAACCCTTGGCTTTCTGAGTTTGACTTATTTCACTTAGCATGATGTTTTCTAGTTCCATTTATTCATCTTTAAATAACATAATTTCATTCTTCTTTGTGGCTGAGTAAAACTCCATTGTGTATATATACTATGTTTTCTTTCATTCATCTTTTGACAGAGACCTAAGCTGGTTCTATAACTTGGCTACTTTGAATTGGGCTGCTACAAACATTTGTATGCATGTATCACTCTAAGTATGCTGATTTTAGTTCTTTAGGATAAATACCAAAGAATGAAATATCTGGGTCATCTGGTGATTCTATTTTTTTAATTGAGGAATCTCTATTCTGCTTTCTTAAGTGGTTGTACTAATTTGCAGCTCCACCAACAATGTACATTATTTTAAAAATTTAATAATAGAAGCAAGCTACCTGTCTAAATATGGGGAATGAGGCAGTGAATAATGACATATCATATAACAGGAAGTAATAATAAGTCTAAGATTTAGATTTGTTTTAATGAAAGAAGAGTCTGCTTGTAATTAAATAAAAAATTTTTCAAAAATCACACTGAGGTTTAAATCCAAGTTTAGTAGAGTAGCAATCATGAGGAAATTAATTCACTTTCTTAAGACTCTATTTTTTTTCAACTGTGTAACTGGTATAATAGTCCATACCTGATAGTATTGTTTTCAGGATAAATGAAATATTTCATGTGATCACTTTAGCATTGTGTTTACCACTTAACGTTTGGTCATTTTTCTTCTCATATTTATTTTATCTTCTATATTTCTAATATAAAAATTTGTTGCTTTTATCCTTTTATGTAATTGAAAGCCATTAAAAGATTGTCTTTTTTTAAAAAAAATTCTCATTATTAAATTTCAAATTCTTTTGTTTAGTGAAATAAAAGACCTACAGCCTGTTGGAATTCCAAAACCCTCGAGCATTGACAACAGTATTTAAAATATTAATTGTTATAAGTCTTTATTCTGATTTAAATACACACACATAAACACATACATACAAACTACATTGTGAGAGTTTTACAAAAGTGCTTTATGTAATGTCATCTTAATTCTAAATATGATGATAAATTAAAATCCGAAAACTTAAAGTAAATATAAGGAAGCTACTTTGAAATGTTAAGTCTATTATTTACTGATCACTTATATTTTTAAAAAAGAGTCTACATGCTTTATATAAAATAAGATAAAATTTCTTTTAAAAATTTCTTTTAATAATGTAATTTTAATATATATAAACTTGAATTCATGGGATAAGAAAACATTAAAAATTGTATTATTACTCATTTGATTTTGAATGTTGCCTTTGATTTTTATAACGCATTACTTTTATCAGTTATAAGCTTTCTCAGCTTTTGAATGAAAGATGGGAAGAAAGAATTCGGGCACAACTCACATACCAGAATGTGCTCTTAAGTAATATTGGGCTTCAGGTACTCAAGTCAATAACACCAAGATATAAGGAAGGTATATGGAAAATTGAAATGTATTCAAATATGCAAAGAAAGTATTGTTATAGTTGGGATATTTAATGAATAATTATTCTTCAGATTGTTCAGACAGAGGAGATTCTCTAATGCCTATTTGGCATTTTCTTCAAGATCAGTCATTTGTAAACTTCTTAAGAACTTTCTTTAATTTCTAACTAATTTTACCTCTCCATTTTTTTTTAATTTGCACCTATTTCTCTGTGCTTTATTTTATTTTGTTTTAAGTTGATAAAATGCACTTATTTACTGTCCTAAAATGATACAGGTCTTAGTTTACAAAAAAAAAAAAAAATCATAATACCAGTTATGCTTAAGTTTTGGTGAGTTTGCAAAAGAAAGTTAAATGGAATTCTAATTTACTTTGTTAAATACACAATAATCCAGGTACATTGTCTTTTTTAGTCCTCACAAAAACCCCTCGAGAAAGATTTTTTTTTAAATGGGACAAGATAGTAATAATATGCGCAATGTCACAGAACTGGTACGAAGGTGGTTTAAGCTGTACTGTGCGGTTCGTATTCAAATTTTGAGACTCTAGCTTCTAGTGAATAACTTTTCTAAAAAAAATAAAGCTATAATATATTCCTTTTAAAACAGAAGCTCAGTCTGAATTTTCTTTCTCTGGGATTTAGGTTAAATGTGAAGGCATGACTGAATAATAAGGTTTGTATTCACAGACTCTATGTTTGGAAAGATGACACTAGAATCAGATGACTTAGACTGATTTTTCTTTTTATAAGTGAAAATAATCTCCAAGTCAGAGACTTTACTCATTTCTTTTTGTTGTTGTTTTGTTTTGTTTCTTTTGCTTTTCTAAACTGAGAACCAAGAACAATGTTAAACATGTTGTAGGAGCTTAATAAATATTAGTTGAATGAGTAATTCAGATACCGAACATATCTGTTCAGTAAGCAGCATCTACAGTGACTACCTTATATAATCCCATGCTTTAGGCCAGATGTTGTGAATTGTGGATTTCTCAGAAAACTACACTTACAATAGTTGCATGTATTTTTAGACTGTGGAGTCCTAACATTTATTTATATTTTTATAATATGTGAGTTTAGTCACTCTATTTCTTCAAATATAAGAAACTACTAATGGTAAAATAAACCATCCGTGTGTGAGGAAGAATTGAAAGGAAAGGAGGGAGGGAAAGGAAGGAAAGAAGGAAAGACAGAAAGAAGGAAGGGAAAGAAAGAAGGAAGGCTGCACATTCTAATTTTCAAACATCATTCATTGTAAAACACATCTCTGTTTTAGAAATGTTAACGTGAAAAAGACGAATCTTAGAATTCATGTTATACAGTATTTATTTATCAACATTTATGGGCTGCATTGTTATATTAAACATGAAAGATAATTAAGCCTGAAAAAGTGATGCATGTAAAAATATTATGGAAAAGTTTTGGAAATAATTTAATTTGGAATGCTTTCACTTTACAGGAATGTTAAAGATTTCTATGACTATAAGTTAAGGCTTAGTAAGAAGAGATGACATTTATGTATCCGTCAAACTTGTGTTTCTACAAATCCTTTCTTACTTTACCCAGTGGTGACACAATCTAATTTCAACAGATCTTAATCACATTTTTCAAGTCACTCTCCTGCCCTTTTTGGACAAATTTACTCATTCTTCCTGCTTGCTCCCTCTAAGAAAGAGACCATGAATATGTTCAGAGTTTCTTATCCAGCCCCTACAAATTTTCCTGAAACATCAACACCAAGTAATAAGAATAAAAGATTTCACTGTGTTCAGTTCCTGAGTCTCTCTAAGCCCTGGACAGACAGCTTGGACCTGTGAACATAAAGCCTTAGCTAGTGGCGCCAAATCACACAAAGCCATTTTTAAGATGCCGGGTCTGTGCTATCAATCCTCTTACCTTAGGCAACCCCCCTCCTGCTGGTTAAGTGCTAACACATGCTCTACAATTGCAAGAAGGGATATGGTTTACAGATTAAAATTAGATGCAGAATTAAATTGCTTGAACACAGCAAAATAGAAAGGAGTAGTGGGTGGGGTGAAGAAGGCAGATTTGGGCATGCCGATATTCACACACACACACACACTTAATTCCAACACTTGGATTTCCACTAGAATTCTTAGGCTCAGGTTCTGTTTTCACTACTGAGAGTCATTTTTAGAACAATAATACATAGAATCTGTCAAAGAATATGCAGTCTCATGAAAATGCATGTTCAAATTATAGAATTTACAGCCATAAGAGATGGTTGCACTCCTTTTTTAGAAAGCTAAACAGAGTAATGACTACTAACGACATTTGTAACTTTTCAGGCTACTAGAGTAAGAGTAATCAGATCTCAGGCTTCAGGGTGTAAAATGATCACCTGTGCTTTTCAGAAAGGAATTTCTGCACACACCAGTGTCGCACAGTTGGCCAAGCACATGATTGTAATGTCAGGAGGAAGGGGTGAGAAGATCACCTTTCTCCAAATCATTAAATGGCTTTTGCAAATGGTAAACACGAACTAATATAGCAATTAAGATTGATTTTTCTTTATTAAGGGAAAAAAAGGAGAGACATTGCCCCCCAAAAATCTAAAAACCAATTTTGGAAAACAAAGAAATAAAGTTTATAACATATACTCCCTTGTTTTTGAGTCTGAGGCCATAAAATGAAGTAATTTACTAATTCACTCAGCAAATATGTGCTAGAAACCCATTTATTTACTTGCATTTGTTTAAGTGCTGGGGGATATACCATAGTAAGTACACACATAGTCATTACCTCCTGGGAACTTGAAGTCTAGCAGCAAAGGAAGATATCAATCAGTTACATAATTAGAGGGTTCTAAAGTAAAGGGTTAGAGAATAATAATAAAAGCAAAATTACCATAACTTAAAAAAATGAAAGAAAAAAATCATTGCTGAGTCTATTAATTTGGAAAGCAAGGAACACACACCAGTGAAAAATTTCACTTAAGTCATTCACTCATAGGAAAATGTTATAGACTTTTCGACCCTAGAAAGGATTGCTCTTATTAAGGAGCTAAGGACCAAATACTAACTTTCTGAGTCAGATGAATGAGTCCAAGGATTATAGAGGGTTGCATTTAAAAAAAATAAAACACAGTTTATTGATTATTAAAGAGTCGTCATTTAGTTCCAGTTAAGGTGTGACATACCAAGGTCATTCAGAGTTTATGAGATTCACTAGTTAGAACTAGTGGTGATGAAATTTTGTATTGAGATTTCCCAGGCAAGTGCTGCTGTAGTGGAGAAATTTTCTTCTCACAGATGTGAAAGATAACTGGTGAAAAAGTTGGAAGCACAGGATCAAGGGTAAAGGAAAGAGATGAAAAGCATCTCAAGCAGGGAAAATAATGTTGTAAAGATAGGGAGAAGAAAAAATATTATGGTAGAGGCCATACTATGTGGCTGGAACACTGTCCCCTCTAGGGTGCTTGAGCCTGAAGAGGTGGCTCTGGCAAGGCTGTCCAAGAGAGTATACATCATGTTATAACAGTTGGCCTACTCTACTAAGAGCAGGGAAAGTCCACTGCAGGATCTTAAAGAGCAAAGGTGGCCTTAGAATATAGGGAATTACCTGATTTGTGTTTCAAAAAAAAAATCTCTCGAGGTACAATATTAGTGATGAACTCAAGGGTTTATTATTTCAGGTGCTTACATACCATTTGGGAATTAACGATCATTTCCCAGAATAGAAATTATGAAATTAAGAATGTAGAGTTCCAATGAATCTGGATTATTTCAACAATGAAAGAGAGTGAGGATGTCAGGGAAGATAATTAAGGCACTTATAACTGAAACTACCCAATAATTCATAAATATAACATTTACTCCTTAAACCAAAACATTCTGTCTTGGAGATCAGGGCTGGAAATCTCTAAGAAGGGTCCTTCCAATCATCATCTCTTGATATTCTGTGTGTCAGTGTAAAGCTCTCTCTCTGAGTATGGGCTGCACATAATGATTTAATCCTTACAAACATTATGGAGCAGAAGACACAGAGTCATACATGAGGGGAGCTTACAACCAATGTGGTTTCTATGACAGTTGTTGTCTTTCACTTGTTCCTGTATCACTCTTTATGGGGACAACCAGCTGCAGTGTCATGAAGCAGTTGTGGGGAGGTCCATATGGCAAGAGGTTGGGGCCTGCCAATAATCATGTGAATAAGCTTGCAACTAGTTCCCCGCTACACTCAAACTTGAAATGACTAAAACCTGGATCAAAAAATTGATTTCAGCCCATCCCATGAGTTAAGAACTCAGCCAAGCCACCTCAAATTATTCCTGATTTGTTTTAGCTTTCCATCACTATGACAAAAAGACCTGAGATAATTAGCTTATAAGAAGGAAAGGTTTGTTTTTGCTCCCGGTTTCACAGATTTCAGTTCATGGTTGGTTGACCTATAAATTTGGGGTGAGGCAGGATATAATGTCAGAGAGTGTGTGTAGAGGAAGTTGCTTACCTCATGGTAGCCAGTAAGCAAAAGAGAAGAAGAAGAAGACCTGGAATCCCAATAGCCTCTTCAAGGGCTTGCCCCCAGTGCCCTAGCTTCATCCCACTAGGCCTCACCTCCTCAAGAGTTCATTACCTCACAGTGGCACAGTGGCACCAGGGGATGGACCAGCCCCTCAACATGCAGGCCTTTGGGGACATTCCAAATCCAAACTATAGTAGGGACAGAGAGAAATGATGAGGAAATTACCTTTAATTTCCTGCAAATTTCTTTGAAGCTGCTGAGATTTGGATGACTTGTTGCACAGCAATAGGGGACTAACATGGAGAGCGTGTGAGTTAAACAAGCAATTTGTCCCTGATTTGTCATGTTTACTGTTTTATTCAGTCTTCAGATGTCCTTATTTTTATCCTTTTCGCTTACTTATTTTCCCTTCCTTTAAAAAAAAATTTACAACGATTAATGTACACATGGATATAAGAGACAGTTTAAATAATTGCATTTTCATTGGCTTAGAGATGGATAAAAGCAAAAGAAGTGGAGAGGTATCAATTTTCCTTTAGTAAATTTGACACTTGCAAAGACTAGACAAGCTCAAAATACAAAAATTATATTATATTCTCTACTTTATCATTTTTAGTAAAACTCTGTTTACCTTGTTTAGGTTAAAAACAAACAAACAAACAAACAAAAAACCTCCCTTTGTATCTTTTCAATGATTCCGTAAAGGTAGAAGAAAGAACTTTTGCATGTTCTCATGTATGATATTTGGCCACTACAAAATAAAAATGAACATGGGTACATACAAAATATTATGATTTGGATCTAGAATGTCTCCCCAGAGCTCATGTGTTAAAAGCATGAGCCCCAGATACATGAAGGTTCAGAGGTAGAACATTTATGCAATGTATTGGGGAACTAAACTCATCAATGGATTAATTCATTTACTGGTTTAATCCACTGATAGCTGAATGAACTACTAGGTAGTAACTACAGGTAGGTTGGGGCTTGACTGGAGGAAGTCACTAGGGCATGGCTTTGGGGACTATATCTGCCCCTGGTCCACCTGCCCATACTCCCCCCTCTGCTTTGTGGCTGTCAAGAGCTGGGCAACTTTACTCTGCTCTCCCTTCCACCATGATGTTTCTGCCTTGGAGCTAGCTGACCATGAGCTGAACTTCTGAAACTGTGAACAAAATAAATCTTTCTTCCTTTAAGTTGTTATTCTTTGTCAGGTATTTTGGCCACAACAACAGGAAGTTGACTAACACACAATATATGAAATTATTTCCATGCAAGCCTTCCCCACTGGTTATAGCAGAGCTTCAGTCTTGAGTAATTCCATCCCCATTTCTACCCCTACCTTAAAGTATTCTGAAAGGACACAGGAGATTTCACAAACCCAGTCCACCGTTGTATCCCACCAGCCACTTTCTTTCCCTTCTTCCTGTTGAGTTAGAGCAATCCCCACTTAGCAGCTCTGTTCTTTTGGCTGTCTATAGTCACACCCAGCAGGCAGTGCTTTCTCCTGCTGCTGGAGCAATCTCATTGTGTAACACCAACACAGCTGCCAAGTTCTGCCACTTCTGGGCTCCTCCACTCCCCTGGAGTGCTGATTCAAACTGCCAGAGCTTCACCATGTAGAAAAATAGGAGATAATTTCTTTCACTTACTTATTTATACTCTGGTAAAATGGTACCAAAGAATTGAAGTTTTTCCAATATCATCTAAAGCTTGAATAGAGTGGTTCTGTTTATTCATGGGATCAAGCATAAACCCATAAAGTGGAGCCAACAGACCCATCTGCATGTCCAGCTCCTTGCTAAATTCAGAACTGATGCTCATGATAAAAATCAACTTTTATGATTGAGCTAAGCCAATTCCCCCCTTTTCCCCCACTTTAGGTGAAGCTGTCTTTAAGAAAGCTTCCCAATACGTTTAACAATAGATTTCTGGGAAGGCGAGGCGAGAATCGTCCAAATCACAGCAAAGGCAACCAGTTGGCTGCAAACTGGCTCCATGCAACCCTGAAATGAAATTATCCTCTATTCTTTCATTTCTCCCTGTTAACAACAACAGCAACAATGACAACAACAGACATTAATAAATGTGTCAAGATTTTGTGGTTAAAAGCACTGAACCAAGAAACTGGGAAATTTGTGTTTCAGCCCAGTCCTACCAGGAGCTACTTTTTAAAAGAAATTTAGAATGACATCCTTCCAGAATCTTCCATGCCAAATAATTCCTCATTTCTAAAGAAAATTTCTGGATTAGTTGATCTCTAAACTCCTTCACAACTCAAAAATCTCTACAATTGAATTGA